TTAGGTTAAGGTAGCCCTCACATGGAGAGTAAGTTGGGCTGGCTCTGGGAAGGAGTTAGTTTTGACTGCTCAGGATTTACGTTGAAGGGGCATAGACGGTTCGGTGGATTAGATCATGCCTTAAATTATGTTTTGTACCTGTAGAAGTATAAGTGGGTATAAGGTTTACTTGCGAGTTAAAGAGTACCAGGGGGCATTCTGTTGGTCATGAAAGGCCATATTGGCCTACGTCATGCATTTATGCATTTTAAATAGCTAAATTATATACTATGTTGAATTTATTATTCATTTATTTGATTATGGCTAACTTTGTAATAATCATTGTAGATTTCTGTTACTGAGACTGTGGTTGTTTCATCCCTTTCTTTTCAATATTTCTAGGTCTAAGCGAAGGAACGAGTGGAGGACGGAGAAAGGAGCAGAGTTAGGGGTTGTTTGTAAATTATAAAGAACTGTAACCCCTTTCTTTTGAGCAAATCTTTTGTAATGTATTTAGGATTAGGGTGTCAATAGGATATGATTATGTATATGTGCATTAGTATGTATGGATTGTATGGCTTGTGTATGAATTTTTATTTGCTTGTAGACTTGTGGCTAGGAAACTTGGCTATGGTGTGTGGTTTTGATGGATTTATTTAGTAGATCAAGTTTTCACTATAAGCAAATATTTATTTTGGTATATATGTGATTCCACAAACAAATGCAAAGTGGTTGCATTGCGAATGGTGTGCTATGGGCAAACATATACCTTGGATAAAGAGAGTGGATGCATGGGCCCCACAGAGATCTCTGAGCCAAGTAAAAATATTTAGCATGTGTATTCATATGTATATATGATATTTAGAATAGTTTTTGGCCACTCTTGTGTGATTTGTGCATTTTGGGGGTTTAGGGTCCATTTTAGAAAATGGCACCCGGGTGGTTAGATTTTGGTATAAAGGGTTTTTCTATCATTTAAATATTCTATCAAGTGTTTTTAGTCCTATTTGATGTGCTCAAAGTGTTCCCACAAGTTTGTGACCATTAGAATGAGATTTGGACAATTTTGAAAATGGTTTTTACTAAAAAAAATTGCACTTTGCATCCGGGTGTCCAAATTTTAATCCGACCGTTGGATTTCTCTAAAATTTGGGTCACAAGTAAAATCTTTTATAAGTTCGTGTGGGCTTTAGAATCACATCGATCGGATACCAGACGGAGAAACGGCACACTTTGAAATTTGCTTTGGAGGAGCTGTCATAACAACAATATTTGTTGATATTGCAATATGCACGAAATTTAATCTATCCGTTGGATCATTCTAAAATTTTGTATGCTAATAGTACTATTTAAAATTAACATGTGAGCTAATGAAATGGTACACCCCAAAAATTAGTCTGGAGGTGCTATCATGATAGTTTTTTAGCTATCATGACAGCAAAAATAACCAATCTTTTAACATGTTTAGTTTTTAATCTGACCGTTGGATCTTTTCCTAGATACTGCATTCTAGATCGAAGCTTCTGCCTGAAATTTGGTACACTTATAGTACCCTTTTAATGTGACATGTGAGTGTTAAAATCACTTCGATTGGAGGTCAAAATGATGGAACAGTGCCTCCTGGAATTTGGCCCAGGAGGGCTGTCATGACATCATCTTTTTATTTCACTTTCGTCTACCTTGCTTCCGTGCGCTACAAGTAGAACCTATAATTTTTTTTTTGAGGTTTTAAATGATTTATTTCTTAAGTTGGTTAGAGGATCAACTCCTTAACCATACTTAGTTTATTTGAATTATGTGATCTTTGGATAACACTCGAGGCAAGTGTTACAGTTGACGTCCCTGTAGACCTTCTAACAGCCCTCCTTAGCTTCTGGGCTCTAGGCTGTAATGCCTTTATCTTTGAGCTCAATCTAATGTTCCTTACACTATAGGATGTCTCCATATTCCTGGGGCTACCCATCACTGGGGAGGAGAATTTCTATGTAATCCCTGAGAAGCATGACTTCTACACCGCCCTCCCTACTGATTTGAAGAGCAAGATTAGATCTGTGGGCTCTTACATGAAGATTATGGAGCTGTTCTCTGAGAAGCCAGCCTTTGAGCCCATCACTACCACAAAGCACCTGGTGTTCATATGGATCCTACTAAGCTAATAGATCCTGGCCTTGAGGGGGGAAACTAATGCAGCTGCACTGAGGATCGCCCATTCCCTACTCTATAGTAACCAAATAGCCTTGGAGACTATGTTTATATGCCAACTTTACGATGGCATGAGGGAGTCACTGCTCAAGAAGCCCTTCAGTAACTTCAGTGGGCCCGTCTGGTTTTTAAAGTTATGGACGACGACCTACTTCCCTAACCTTCGATGGGAGCCATTCCTAGATGATTCTTGCACCAACCATTCTTTCACTTGCCTTTTGGGTAGTCATTCGTTGGTGGAGTTAAAGAACTTCTTTGAGTTCTTCTGTCAATAAAGCTAGTCCTTAAAGAGGACCTTAAAAGCTTTCAACATCCCGGACCGCTACTTTCCCACCTAGTACAAGTATATAGTGGAGAAGAAGAACAAGCCCACCAACCCTCTGAGGGATAAAGTCTTCCTTTCAGCTACCACTCCCCGAAACATGTGGCTGCTGTATACTAGCTCTTCCTCTAAGTCTATCAAAGTATACTTAGAGTCTTATCATCCTCAACTGGTGGTGAGCTAGTTTGGACTGAGCCAATGCATCCCTCGAGGCTTGTCCCCTTAAATTAGCATGAAGCTGCTAGACAGAGAGGCTATCGATCAAATAGCTATTCCACTTACCACCCAGAGGCAGTGCAAGGTGGAACTTATAGATAGAGATGCTTGCCTCTGCTTCAATAAATGGTGGCCCCAGCGCTTTAGATGCATAACAAAGAGCCACACCAGTAAGTATTTCCTCTACATCTACCTTAGTTTTATCCTTCTCATTTTGTTTCCTTAGACTAAACCTGCCTTGTCTTTTATAGGTCGTGATTGGACATAATGCCATGCGCTGGTGACCTTTTTAAAGGGCAACATTGATGCCCCTGTCGCTTGAAGACACTGACGGGCCCCTTTTGTAAGGACCGTGGTCCAGGGGATGGAGCAAGATGATGCTTCTTCCTAAATTTCTATTCCCCCAGTCGCTAAAAAGTCTGGGGCTAAGAAGAGCTCCTCCAGTCATCATAATAGAGGAGATATTCCTGACAATAGGAAGCAGGCTCTGTCCCTATCTCTAGAGGCTAAGAGAAGAAAGAAGACGATGCCCCCTCCTTTTGACCAAGCTACCTCTACCCCTCTCCTAACCAGCCCCACTCCTCAGAAAGGGAAGTGCACACACAAGCACCAACGGACAATGATCCTGTCAACAGACTCCAACGATGGGAGGGTGAGTCTGATTTAATAAGGAAAGAAAGAGATCTAGCATGCTAATCTCCAAATGGTCCCTTTTCAGGCCGCCACTACTCTTGAGCCTACACTCATGGACCCAATTGAAGTTGCTCAAGAGGTGGCCCTGGAAGTGGCAGAACGTGATAAAAGTCCGGGAGCAATCCTGTCTATTGCAGCCCTAGGCGGTTCAGAAGATGTCGAGGCTACCCTTGATCAAGGAAAAGCTATTGCTGTCGCTTTAAGTGACAAGCTGGAGCTTGGGGTCTAAGACCCTGCTGCTATCGCAAGCCCCCAGATGGTCTCCCTACTTAGTCTAATCCTTTCCTCCCACTTATCAAATATCCAAGAGGGTAGGAGCTTTGAGGGATTGTAGACGAAGTCTATGAGTGATGCTTTAACCACTCTGGTCTCTATTAAAGGTAACTCAGCACAGGGACAAGCTAGTTCTTCCACTTTGACAGACCACATGGAGAAAGCTCTGTGCTCGGTGGCACGGTCTGTGCGTACTCTTCCCTCTTCAACAAGCAAAGACAAAGCACTCGTGGACCCAATTTAGGTATAGTCTTGTTTACTTTTTCTTTTCATTCCTGCTAGTTTTGTCTTGGTCTTTTGCTAATGTTATTGTATTTTCTTTAGTTGGCTGCACTAGAAGCAGTACTTACAGATGCCCTTTTCTCTTGCATTTGCGTCCCTAAAACAGACGTTATATTAGATGCTTGGAGGGTCATCTAGTTCCAACTTAGCTATGATCCCTTTCTCATCCCCGAACAAAATTTTAAGGAAATGATTTAGGCTTTGGAGACTATGGTAAAGGCGGTCTCCATGTCTGAGTTGGCACTCCTACAAGCTTAAGTCCCAGCATGTTATGTCATTGTTAGCTAGTGCCACAAAGAACTCCCCTTCCTGTTTGAATATTTGAAGAACAAATGGGTAATAAGGGATGAATATTTGGCCACCAAAACTCATACGACTGCTGCTACTGATCGGGTCCAGGAGATTGCCCCTCGCGTTAATCACCTTCGGGCATTATGGGTTAAGGTGGTAGACTTGATGTGCCAGCTCGCAGCGGCTAAAGAAGAGTTGGTAAAGGTTGAAGCTGAAGATAGTCCAGCAAAACCCGAGCTGGAGGTTGCTGCAAAGGTTCTAGATGAGGCACGGACTATTTTAGATAAGCTTCATGCTATGCTTGAGTTCAAGATGGTCCCTGCACATCACTAAACCCTTTTTGTGAATCTAGACTTAGCTTTATCAACGTGGGAGCTTAGGTGCAGTCTCTGTAAATAGTATACTTGTGTACAAATACACACATTTTTTATTTTATTTATTTGTTTATTCTTTATTCCTTGTAACACAATTCAATCATGATAATAAAGAACAAACATTTTTTTTCACTGTGTGAATTTTGTATGCCCAGAGGCCATTCTAGGCCTCTGGTCCTTTATCGCTTTCCTATTATAATGATGGCCAATATTTTTTCAAATATTTGCCATCTGTGTGGAATTCCATTGATGCTAGCTAACAAGTGCGTGTTCCCTTTAAATACTTCATCTACCTTGAATGGTCCTTCCTAATTAGGTGAAAACTTACCAAGTGTCCGGTCTTTAAAACTAGGTGGTAACATAACTTTTCATACGATCATGCCTACATGAAAATGTTTCCGTCTTATCTTCTTATTGTATATTCTTGAAACTTTTTTCTTCTGGGCGATCATATGATTGAGTACTTGTAAGTAAATTTTGTCTAACGAGATTAACTCGTTCATCATGGCTTCATTATAGTCATCAGACGATCTTCCTAGACTGTTTGCAACATGTAGTGAAGGGACTGTTATTTGTATAGGCAAAATAACCTCGTGCCCATATGTTAACACATACAGGCTTGTGCCTGTAGCCTTTCTTTTAGATGTCTGGTATGCCCATAGTGTCTCGGGCAATCGTTCATACCATTCTCGAGGATTCTCTTCCACTGTTTTCTTTAGAATATCAAGGACGATCTTGTTAGAAGCTTTGGCCTGTCTATTTGCCTGAGGGTAATATGGTAAGGATGCCAATAACTTAATCTCGCTTTCCTCAATGAAGGTCTTGAATTCACTTTCAATGAACATCATCCCCTAGTCTATTGTAATCGTCTAAGGAATCCTAAATTGAAACATGATTTATTCACGTACAAAGTTAATGACATCGCTCTGTTTTACTTTCTTCATAGGGATAGTCTCGACCCACTTAGTGAAATAATCTGTGGCCACCAAGATGAATGAGTAGCCCTTAGATGAGGTCAGATAGATTTTCCCTATTATATCTATGGCCCATCCTCGAAAAGGCCATGGTTTGATGATTGGATACATGTCTGATGCCAACACATGTTGTGTTGGCCTGTGAGTCTGACATTTCTTGCACCTTCTAGTGTATTCAATGCAGTCTTTTACCATCGATAGCCAATAGTATCTATGCCTACGCACTAGCCATTGCATCTTTAGCCTTGACTGATGAGCCCCACAGACTCCCTCATGTACCTGTCTTAAAATTTCTATATAATCAGTGAAGGCCAAACACATAAGTAATAACCCATTAGGGCCTTTTCTGTATAACTCATCTAATTAAAATAAAGTGTTGAGCACGTATCCTTATTCTGTAAGGGTAACGTTGACTGGGATCTTGCAAATAACTCTTAAAATCATCTCTCTAATCCTGGGCTAACTTTTGCGAGACCATACTACACTGTATTGTTAAACCATGCTGAACGACCGAGGGATGTTCTTTTCGTTCCACCACAATTACTTTTCTGGTGAGTTCAAGTGACAACCTTAGCCCTGACGCTATTTGAGCCAATTTATTGGCTTCCCGGTTTTGAGTTCGAGGAACGTAAATCAAAGTTACTGGTTTGAACTCCTCTAGAATCTGGGAAGCCCAAGCATAATACATCACTAGAGCTAGGCTTGTGTACTTGTACTCGCTAGTTAACTATTTGATGACTAACTGAGAATCCCCCTCTATTACCACATCACAAGCCTTCATTTCTTGAAGAATCTCAAGCCCTGTGAGCAGTGCTTCGTATTCCACCTGGTTGTTAGTACGCTCAAAATTTAATTGCAAAGATAGTATCGTTTTTATCCCCGTAGGAGAGGTTATTACTATACCAACCCCAGATGCCTGTTTAGTGCTAGATCCATCAAACTTAAGCACCCAGGGCCCTGGATCTACTAAGAACACAGGTAGTTCCTACTCATCTTTAGGGAGCCTGGCTGAGGGATGATCAACCAGGAAATCCGCTAACGCATGGCCCTTAACTGATTTGAGACAAGAATATTAAAGAAAATTATGCCAAGGCCAAGCTCCATTTCCCTATACGGCCTGTCATGACTAGTCAATTAAGCATGTACTTAATTAAATCAAAATGAGAAACCACATACATAACTGTGTTTATTATATAATGCCTTAACTTAGTAGAAGCATAATATAGTGCTAAACACACTATTTCCACAGCTAAGTATGTGGCCTAAGTGGGAGTTAAACACCTACTTAAATAATAGACCACCTGCTCATGTTCACCTCAATATTTTAGACTAACATACAACCTATGGAAGTGGCGGTAGAAGCTAAGTACAATAGAAATAGGGTGTTCTCCCTCGAGGCTGCTAAAACCAGAGATTTTGTCAAGTATTCTTTAATCTTGTCAAAGGCCGCCTGATGATGTCTGGTCCAGTCCTTGGTATTTTTAAGTTTCAATAGTTTAGAAAACTCCTTCATCTTCCTTGCAAGGTTCGAGATAAAACGCTTGAGATAATTGACTTGCCCCATGAAACTTTAAAGTTCTTTCTTATTGCTCGGTGCCTTCGCCTCCAAGATGGCTCGTGCTTTGTTCCGATCTACTTTAATCCCCTTCTATGAACCAGGAATCTAAGGAAGTTACCTGCAGTTACATCAAAAGCACACTTTATTAGATTTAACTTAAGGCCAACCTCCCTCATTCGGAGGATACTCGTCCTCCAATGTTTAATATAATCATGTGCCTTCTTGGATTTTATCATTATGTCATCTATGTATACTTCTAGATGCTTTCCTATCATATCATGAAAGATGGCATTCATAGCCTGCTAATAGGTGGCCCCAACATTTTTTAGTTCGAAGGGCATAATTACCCATTTAAAAGTTCTAATAGAGCTTGGACACCTGAAAGCAATCTTGTGAATGTCTTTTTTTATGAAAAATATTTGATTGTATTTGGTGAAGCAATCTATAAATGACAATAAAGTATTTTCAGCCCCAACATCTATTAACCTGTTTGCAATAGGCATTGCATACACGTCTTTAGGTGTGGCCATATTTATGTTTCAAAATCTATGCAAACTCATAATTTTTCATTCTTCTTGATTACTGGGACTATATTTGAGAGCCACTGAGCATACCTGTAAGGTTGTATGAATTTGGCCTATAAGAGGCGTTTGATATCCTCCTTTACTCGTAGCTCTACTTCTACTGACATTCTCTAGGCGTGTTGTTAGTGCAGTTTATAGTTTGGCTTTATAAGAAGCGTGTGTTTAACCAGTTGCTTAGCCAACCCTGGCATTTCATCATAGTCCCATGCAAAGCAGTCCTAGCTTGATGTCATCCTTTTGTTCTTTATCTAGCAATGAGCTAATGAATGTGATTCTCGACTTTTCTGGGGATCCGAGGTTTACTTCTTCTAGTGGATCTTGGACCTCTAGGGCTATATCTTTAAATTTTAGAGGTATAGGGTAACTAGTGCAGTTGTGCTATCTTCTGGGTCTCATCTTCATATACAACTTCGATCCCATAGACCTCGGGTTTGTAGTCTTCTAGCTTTTCTTATATATTGTGCAGCCATATCTTTTGAATGGCCATGGCTACTACCACCTTTCCGCTGTTAGTTCTAATCATCAACCAGTTCTATGATGGGCTCGTGCCTCTGTGAGGTTAGAGGCACTATAGTGTCTGTTGTTGTTCTGTATGGAAGGATTCCTTAAGCATTTTAGAATGTGAATGGGCCCACATCAGCATCGTAATACCTCACGTCCATAAAGTCAGTAGCTGCTGTGAATGGCTTGTCTTCAGCCTAAATTACTTCTACCTCCTCTCCTTTCCACATAAGGAGCATCTGGTGCAGTGAAGAGGGTACACATTCATTAGCATGGATCTAATCTCATCCTAAAAGGGCCTGGATTATGCTGTGGTACTGATTACAAAGAAGGCCATTAGTGATGACTTGGTCTCAACATCAGCTTGTAACGGTAGCACGCCGAGAACCTTTGATGCAGTCCCAGTGAACCCCACACTGATACCTCAGTTGGCATCAAATCATACTCCTCTCGTCCCATCTTGATCATCATGCGGGTTGGCAGAATGTTCACCGTTGAGCCATTATCAATGAGGACCCTAGTCATTAGTCTCCCATCAAAATGTGCCCTAATGTATAAAGGCTTCAGGTGCTGAGTCATCTTCATACTAGGTTTCTCCAGAACAGCCCGCTTTGGTTTTCCTTCTATTGCTTGCAAAGTAATTTGGAAAACGGGCTCTGTAATCTCTTCTTTCTGTGCCTGTGTGCTTATAGACTCGTACTCTTATTCTTCTCTTGGCTCAATTGGGTAGTACTAATATAGGCCCGTCTGTATCAGACCCGAGGAGTTCTATTTCTGTTGGCCCTGGGCATTACTAATGGTAGAATAAAATTGAGAAGGTAGTGTTACTGAGACCACATAGCAGATGTTGAGCGGTATCTCTCCAATGTGAACGGTCCCCTTTTTTCACTTTTGACCTCACTTCCTTCGTCCTGGTCCTCAGTGGACTTCCTTCTAAACTTGCTAGCCTCCTGTTGAATGTCAGGACTATCCTGTACCTCAATTCTTTACTATTTAAGGTACCTCTGTGTAGCCCATTTTCATTGAAAATGTCACTTCTGAGTTTTTGTCAAGGCAGTTGGGAACTTTTTATGCCTTACAACTCTCCATTTCAGAAGCGGTACATTACTAGGCGGTGTAACAAACCTACCCGAGCCTTTAGCGGCTTTTGGTTTCAAAGGAAGCTCTGTGCTATTTTTTTATGGCGTTAGCGGTGGTAACGGTAAGCCGTCGGGGCCTACATCGTAGCTCGTTGGTGTCTCGATGAATGGTTCAACTGATCCAGGGGGTGCTGAGTACTTTATAAAAAGTTGAATTTGTCAGATGGTTCCCCTAGGCGGTCTCAGACCACCTTAGATCCATCTAGTTTTGTCATCACTAATCCCCCTGGGCCAACATCCCATCCTAAAGGTCATTTTCCATTTTTCTTTCTTTTATGCTGACTATCTCCGTTCTGGGTTTCCCTCAAAATGTCCCAAACTACTTTATAGCCATTTGGGCTTTTCATGTTCTGCCCCTCCAGGCTTACATCCCATTTAGAAGACCTGTTCTTACTAGACCAGCTCGTGGGATTCCCCAGGCAGTTCCATACTGTCTTAGAGTCTCTTTAAGTTACTTCACCCCTGTTCCAAATGTTCCAAAGTCTCCTATCCTTCGGCTTACTATCACCTTTCTTGAGCCTTTATTTGCCAGAGGTTAGCTCCACCATGTTAACCATAGCAAATAGGGGAAATGGGTCCTTATCTACTACCATGGATTCTTCCTTAAGGAATTTCAGAACTCCCTTGTTGATCCGATCCTAGACGATGTTTTTGAATCCCCAACACACTTTGGTGCTGTGGCTCCATGAGTAATGATACTTACAGTATTCCTTTTGTAACATCCTAAAATTTCAAATCAGGAAAAATGGATTAATTAAGGGATAAATTAGTTAAAAATATGATTAATTTATTTAATTATGTTTTTGGGTGGCTAATTAGATTTGTAGGTCATATTTAGCTCTAAATTGAGATAGGATGAAAGTCGGATCAAGTCGGGAAGCATCGGGGGGAGAAAAATCAAGTTGTTGCTCATTACATCGTGAGCCGCGGCTTGCGTGGTGTGTGCTGCAGTGCACGACACAGCAGGCAACTTAAATTTTTAGGAATCATCAAAAATTGACAGATTTTGTGATGAAAACCTAGAGCACGAAGGGGGCAACTTTGGGCACTGCTAGGGTATCAATTTGGAAAGATTTTGAAGATCATTTGAGT